CTGAAGATGAACAAGGAGGTAAAAGGCAGACCTAGCACCATAAGGTCTATTTTATCCTAGGAGGATAAAAGCCAGGTGGCCCAGTCCAACAGCATCATGCAACCACCACAAGATGGGCATCAACAAAAGTTAGAAGGACAAATACCTCATCTGCCAAAGAAAAAGACTGCAAGGGGAAAATACTAAGTCCTAGTGCTGGAAAAAGAATTTCATCTTCTGATGCATGACAAAAGTTAGCCTAGTGGCAAACACATTAGTAGGGGAATCAGATAACATATCCATCATCACCCGCCCACTGCTAGAGGAGCTCTTCCTGGAGCCAGGCTGAGAGCCTTGCTGTGACCCATGGATCTGCAGCACTAGCTTGGTCTCCCACAGCTTCAATCCAATGGACTCAGCTAGAAACGATGGAGAAGAGCAGGGAAGGACCCTTTGGAAAGGCACAGGGTTCAGGGACAGCATCTGTCCTGGATCTCTTCATTTAACCCATCTCACTGCTGGCCTGAACTTGCTCATTCTATGAGAGCACCACTGAAATTCAGAGCCCTTATTAAAGGAAGGGCGCAAGCAATCTCACCTCAAAGTCCAAGCAAGTCTGGGATGCACAGCAGATGACATGGGCAGTTCCTTTCCCTGGCCACATCTTTGTGCATGTCCTTTAGCTTTCCATATCAACTTACCTCACACTTCACTTGCAATCACACCTCCATGGCTCCTGCCTATGCCATCATCCTCCTTTACTTGAGGAAAATAAGAAAACGTATTTACCACCCTGCTCCTCTTCCATTGCTCCTTCCGTTGCTCCATCTTGTGTCTCTACTCTCCTCATGCTCAAAATCCTCATGATGGAGAGGGACTCCCAAGGCAAAGAGTTAAGTGATTAGACCGGCTGCTCCATATACACCTCTTCCTTGCTGGGTGCTGAGCAGATCATGTTGTCCACAGGTATTTCCTAGCCACAGAGAGCTATTAAGTATTTAATTCATGATCAAAACTGAAAGCATTCCTTCCCTTATAGTGTTATCTTTAAGAAATTAAATTATCAGTGCAAACAGGTGAAGCAGAGGGGTTAGCATAGTACGTGTGTATGTTTTAATTTCTGTTAGGTAGGACTGAGAAAGGCCAGAACGCAGTATTGATCACTGGTTACAATGCTCTTAATTATACCAAACCACTATAAATCCTTTTGAGATTAAGTCTGAAAGGTCACTCTAGGATTTCTTTTACCAGGCTGATACTCTCCCTACCCTGGTCCAACCTCTCTCAGTGTTGGTTGACCACAAAAGAGATTCCCAAACTGATCACAAAATACAAAAGTCAGGAGTAGGTACCTGCATGGCTTCCACTATAGGTATTCCCAGCACTTTCTCATGCCTAAACACACTGCAACCAGGAAAGACAGCAGGACAGTCTGCAGCTGCATTACAGCTCATAGGGTATGATGGTGGTTACATGGTCTAGAGAAAGGCACCTTAAACATCTATTTCTAGCCAGAAGTTGATTCTCCCACCAAATCCATTCACACTCGGCTCCCAGATAGAATGTTGGCCCAAAAGGCTTTCAGGCTCCAAGTGCTCAGGAAGCCCAAGTATCCTCAAACCCAACAACTCTCAACATGGAACTTGGGTCCCATTTCACTCCAGAACTCTGTTTGAGAAGTCTCAGATGTCTTTTATATGATTTTATAACACTTCCCATCACCTTCCCTTACAATACATTATGAAAGGTGAATCTCACTCTCCAATAAGCACCCGGGCCTGACAACAGATCAAGGTGAACAGGACCAGGGCATCACTTCACACACAGATCTCCTCACAGCAACAGCTTGTGGATCATTCAGCAATTCAAGGAGGGGTGGATGGAAAGGCTTCCTTGTTTTGTTTTTTGAGACTCCAGCTCAGGATTTGGCAAGCTCAAATGCATTTCCAATAAAGTAGCTGTCAGGCTATCACAAACAAAAAGCACAAACCCCAGTTTGCAAGCAGCAAGAAAAGCTAAAAGTAATTAAACATATTGGTATTGACAGGACAGCTCACTCATCTTTGTTCTCAAGACACAAGAACACTGTCTGGTTTTTCCCCCTCATTTATTCTCCCAAGCTGCAAAACTCATTCCACAAGCCCATCTTCATGTCCAGGTACCCAATTCAGACAAAAGCTTCACCATCCCTTTGCTTCCGTCACTGTCTTCAGCCAGTTTCATGCTCCAAATGCCTGTAAGGGATCACCACACTAATAACCACCACACAAACAGCCCCCTTTTCCCCACCATTGCTTTGTTCACCCAGGAGCAAATCCAGGGTTGCAAAGCCAGAGAAGATGACCCAGCCTGGGCCCCCAATGTCCACACTGGGTGCCAACTCATGCAATGGCCACACACATTTTGCTCTCCAAACACCTCAGCTACCCACTTAGCTTGCTCTGAGTTACTGTTGCTCTCTCCAAAGGTGCCCAGAGGAGCTGGCAGCCCAGGTCCCATTAGTTTTTATAGGAAATGAGTATCCAAACATGGGAGACAAGCCCAAAGTGCCCAGCTTATTAATTCACATTGGAAGATAGGGGTTTGGTATGCTGTACATTTTTTTTCTTGGCCAAGCTGTTCAGATTTATAGACCTGACTGACCCTAACTAAAATCAGGAGATAAAGCCTGGAGGAAATAGAGAAGAGCAATAAAAAAAGATTGATCTTATCTGTCTTTCAAGCAGCCCAGAAGGCCTCTGTGCTCAGAGCTGGCGTACAGATCAGGTCATACCCAGAAGTTTCAGAAGCAGTTGCTAAAGCCATCCAAGTGCTGCACAGCTTTGCTCACTCAGCCTCGTGTCTATTAGGGAAGAACAGCAGCAAAGCAAAGAACCAGGCTAAGAAACAAGAAAGAGAAGAACATACAGACATAAACTCACCTTTGGGCACTGAAATAAAAGGACCAAGTGGCAGAACTGCTAATCCTGCACCAGGCCCACATGTGCAGCAAGGGATCCTCTCACTTGTGCCAAGCTGATCACCAATTTATGTGGGGGAAGAGGGGTGCAAAGGTCTTCCAGGAAGCTCTGCAAAGCTTGAGCAACAGCCCAATTACTGCTGAAGGCAAGTTCTGCTCTGTCCCTGATTGCTTATTCTCTTCTCCCTCACATGATTCAAAGGGCACCAGAAACTAGGGGAGCTACTGGGGGTCTGTAGCAGAGAACCAGGCCCTTTAGCTGAGAGAACAGCAAAATTCTTCCTAAGGAGCACTGTCTGCATTGTCAGCTTGCAGTTTCCAATGCTGTCAACCTGGATCAAGTTGCTTTTGGTCTCAGCAGCTGAGTTTCCTGCCTTTTTTTGCTTCAGAATTTACTAGCATTGCCCAAATACTCCATTTTCTCTCCCCCCTCTTATTCTCCTCATTAAAGAATAAAAAGATTTCTTTTCCTGAAGCAAAACCACCCATTGTAGGTATGAACCTGTTGGGAAACTATTTCAATTTCACCACTGAGGACACATGTCCATGGTCCCCATTTTAGTGGTGACTGTAGCTCCTCAGGGAGCTTCACTGCCCAGAAGAGCCTCCACCCCCCATCATTGCTTGGATGCATCAAGGGGGTTGTAAATTGAGGACCTGAGCCACACCTAACAGGACTATGAAATATCCCCATTTGCAATAGCATAACCTGTTACCAGAGGGGAAAGGGGGCTAGATCCCAGTATAAATCAGCCTGGAATGGCAAAGCCAAACTCAGCACTAAGGATTGCTGGAAAAAATAGTATTAATTTAACTATGCACCAAGCCAGAGAGCAGACCGAGCTCAGATCAAATAGAAGACAGGTTAAAAACTGAAATATTTATACTGACACACTCCACTCAGCTTTAGGGATCATAAGTAAATCTTGAAACAGAGAGTTTTCCCCTCTTTTTCACTCAGGCTCTGGATACTTTATAAGTTTGTCAAAGAGCACAGAAACAGGCACATTTTGCTGTTCCACAAGTGGAACAGGCCTCATTTCTCACACCTTCCCACAAGTAGCATTTTCCATCCAAACAGGTTGAAAAAATGACATCAAGTCAAGGGCAAGGAATTGGAATTCTACCCCATCTCCAATCACTGCTTAAAAAAAACCAAGGTGTTTCTGAGGCCTTTCAAGTTTCTTTTCACTTGGAGAACTGTTTTTATTGTAAGCAAACCCCAAGTGTCTCCTAGGCAACACCGGCAAACAAAAGGGGAAACAGTAGAGAATCAATAAAGGTAATAAATACAGTCAATGGAAAGAGCCTGCAATGCAATCACAGATATAGCACATATGCTAAAGAGGTTTAATTTCCCTTCATCCTAGAGAAACAAGCTCTAGTCTTACAGCTCGGGTAGTATTTTAGCACAACTCCCATTTAAGACTGTAGGAATGGCATGATTAAAACATCAGCTTCAGCATGATATTTTCATAGTAAATTCTTAATAAAATACTATTTTTGTAGCCACAGAATCCTAAACTATTTAAAAGAATGAATAATTTATTCTTTTGTCCTCAGCTAGCAAAGTGGAGCCTTGATCTTTCTAATCACAATTATTTCTACTAATTATTACTACTAATAATAGCCAGACAGTAGCAGGAAAAAAAATGAAAATGTACAAGAGCCAAGGAAGGAAGGGTCAGAGACATTTATGTTATCTGATTATCAAGATAATGCCTGAGAGTTAGCAGGTGTATTAGAGCTGAAGTATTCTGTGATGTATGAAAAAAAGCTAATCCACACTTAATAGTTTTCTCCCCCTGGGTCTCTTAAAAGGGAAACACAAGCCTGAAGCGAGCTGCCAGTCAACCGAACGGCTGTGGCATCTGTCCACACAGCTACAGGGTGATCACCCATTTGTAAAGGGTCTCCAGGGCTCATCCCACATGCTGAGCACTCCACAACACTGTCTTCTTCTGCACCATGGCAGTGGTTTCAGCAGGCCACAGTGGAAGCACTTGGAGACATGTGCATGTATCTGGAATGGTTTCCAGGGAACTTTCCTGCATTTCCTCACCTTCGGCATACAGGAAGGTCACAGCACTCATGTCCATCTGCTTCAAGTCTCAAAGTTTGGTTCAATGGGACAGCTCTGCTGCATAACCCAGGCTAGGTCTGGGGCAGACACCTGCTCATGGAAGAGGGTGATCAAGAAGTAGAAACCAAAACTGTAAAGCACTCAAAGACACACAAGTTGGGCAGCAGAATTTCCTTAGGGGAGGAGAAAGAAAAATATCATGTTTGCAAAGGATTTTTTTTTTTTTTTTTTAATTAGCTAGTGGTTTCTGGAGAAGTTTGGGAAGTCACTCTGTTTACAGCTGTTTTCAGCCTGGCAGCTGCATATTCCACAAACCTCCCCCCATGACATGTGTTACAGCAACAGGGTCTGTAATTTGCATGCAAGCAAGACATGAGGCCTTCAAATTCCTCTGCTCCCAGTGCTTATTGCTCACCTGAAGTCATAATGCACTCTCCTTAACATTGTAATCACCTGCAAAGCAACCCACACGGATGTCACAGCAAAGGGCTGGAGCTAGGAACAGCAGGGCACTCAAAGTGGAACTACCTGCATGCAAATAAACCTGTTTAAGAGGGGGAAAAAAGATCCAGGGACATTAAAAAGCCAAGTCCTATTCTCATGCAATACTTCTCAGACTACCAAGAGTTCAGTGCCTTTTAAAAGAAAATAAAGCACGAACCAACTCAAAAGCTCTCTGGTTATCAGCTGGCAGAGATCACCAGATTCCCACCCAGCTGCAAACTGCAGCAAATTGTGGTTTGCCTTTTCCTCCCCATGCAAGGCAGCTCTTGCTTCACCCTATGTGTTTTTACCAGCCAGCCCCAGTTTCCCTTCTCTCCTTTATCTGAAGCCCCCTGTGCCCAAAGGCCAGCGTCTGCCAGTGCTGCAGCTGAGCTTGGCGGCAGTTGCTGCTACTGAATGGAATAGCTGAAGAGCAGATGGTCACCAGAGACCTCGCCTGCTCACACAGCAGGGACCAGCTGAACCTTAATGCCACTGAGTCAGGAAATAATCTGCAGTGAACCAGTGGCCACTGAAGCTGCATTTAAAGGCAAGGAGTGTGAGAACAGGCCTATGGAGCGATACAATCCTCTTTGGACACTTCTTTAAACACCCTATCTCAGCAGCCTAGAGAGTCAATAAAGGGAAGCTGGATGATTTTGGGGAGGAAAAGGGGAACCAAGATGTCAATGGTAGGAACTCACGAGAGGAACCTTCTATGACTGGTCTTCTGGCTTCAGGACCTCCACCTACTGCTTAAATGCAGTAAATGAAGGCCCAAGAGTAACAGCAACTCCGTGCATAAGAATTTTACCTGAGCAATTAAGTCAAAATTCTATTCTCCATTAAAATGAACTGAAGCATCAATCCTGTCTTGCATGGATATTTCCAAGTACTGCTTCAAGAATGCAATGCTTTCATATAAACATTTCTGGTCACACCTTCAGCATTCCTCGTAAGCACTGTTAACCTTGAATTTCTCTCTTGATACAGAACTGAAATTAATTGCAAGACCTCCAATTTTGCAAGATTGAAAAATTCTGGTGTTAATATTTGTAGATTTATAGGCCTATTTAAGTAACAGCAATAGTAACTATAAAGCTGTCTGATTTGAGTATGATAATTTCCCTGAAAATGATAACGTGGGGAAAAAAATCACTGTGGAAGTACTAAGACCTAAATTCTCTTTGCATAAAAATATTTTTCTTAGCATTAGATATGTCCTGGATAATTGCTGAATTATTTTCCCTGCTACATAATTTCTGTCAACTTAATTAGTGTGTACACAGGAACTTGAGCCCTTTCAGGTTCTAACTCAAGAGATGATTTCAAAGTTTGCTATCTAGTAAATGAGTGAAAAATCTAATAGATATCAATTTTCCATCTTCTCTTTCAGAAGAAAACTGAGAGACATTTACATCATTTACAGAGATGTCCAAGGTTAGAAATGGGTAGGTAATTATACTGATCAAGTCATCCAAATTTCCAAAATTCCCCACAGAAGAGTCACTTCCTGAAGTAGGAGCACCAGAACCTCTGTCCACATAGGGAAGAATCACATTTCTTGGTAGCTGACACAAAGCAGTGACAAAGTGAGTTGACCTGCTCTACATTGGCCACAACCACTGTGTCCACAAGGCATGATGGAGTCAAACCCTTTCTTCTTACCTGCACATATTACAGATCACATCATCCAAGGTTTCTCCATGGACATCTCTGCAGCTTTAGCCCAGCTCATCTCCCTGTCTGCACCCATCCCAGACACATCATATGGCATTTTTGAAATGCCAGGCCCAAGAGCAAGAAAAAAATGGGCAGCAATGGCCAAAGTCAGGGTGAGATAACATCACAGGGAGGAGGACAGCCCAGCACTGCAGCCTGAAAGTTATTTTTCCCCTCATGTGGCAATTCACACCATCAGATGTGCAAGGATGGAGGCAGAAGGGCACTCTAAGCCTGCTGGAGTGTTTCAGTACCGAGCAGACCAGGAGCTTTTGTGGAAAGCAGCTGGCCACAAGCCTGGTCTCACACCTTACCCCAAGGCAGACACTGCAGTAACCCTGGATAGCATTAAGCCAAGCTGGGAATGTTGTTTCCACAGGGTTTTACATAATATTTGCACTTAGCCTGCATTGGAACAGAGTGTGGACTTAAAGCAGAGTATCTTTTCCAGACACCTACCTGTTCTAAGCAGATCAATTCAAACCAAACTGAAAACAGGACCTCTTATCTCAGAGTGCCCATGCAAGACCTTCCTTTGAAAGAACACCACACACAAAGATCATAGAATGCTTATGGTTGGAAGGGACATTTAGAGGTCCCTTCCCTTATTTTACTAGGTATTCCAGCAAGGTGACCAAGACATCCTGCTCCTCCTGTGATGAGGAGCAGCCAGTGACACCTGTGCTCTTGCATGGGCATTTCCAGCTTCCCTGCACCTCAACTGCAAGTACTTCTCATCTTCATTCCTGCAAATGACTTCTGACACAACAGACAGACCTGATTGTTTCACTGCATCATCCCACCTTGTGTTCAGTTATGACCACAACTATTCGCCAGCTAAGTCTTGCAAGAATTGATGCACTGCCTTGGAGAAAAACAAAGCAAAAAATAAGTAGAAAACCACATGTTTGAGAATTACAGAAAAAAGAGAAAATGCAGAATCCTAATGCAGGAGCAAACAAGGGTCAAATAAAACCCAGTTGATAGTAAGATAGGGAGAAAAGAGGAAACGCACCAAAAAGCTGCACTCTAAATTAAGCACATTAAGAGATAGCAAACACCAATCTACACAACAGACATCCCAGATGCACTGCCCATAAAAATAATTAATAAGGGAACAGTATGTGTACAGAAGACATGTTAAACCCAAGGGATACTGTTAGAAAGAGATATGAAGCTCAGGGATGATCTACAGCATGCATGGGATAGGCCTGCAAGGGCCTAAGAGGCCTCCCCTGTGGTATATTATCTGGAAACCTTTTGTAAAGGGAAGATACATTACTCAACTTCCCCCCCCCCTCCCCCACCCCAGAGAACCATGCTTTAAGAATATGTATTTCTGTGATACTTTCTAAAAGCAATAAAGGAGCTGTCACCGTGGGTGATTTTCAGCTCTGCTTAAAAGCCATTGCCCAGAGAAGAGGGAGGTCCTGTCATGACACGGAGGAAGGAAGATCTCCTGGAGAACCGGGATGCTGCTCCTATTTCCTCTGCAAAAAGGAGCGACACAGGATAGCTGCAGGATGCCCCATTTAACTGCCAGCTTCATCCACTTGCAGCAGCTACAGATTTTATTTTTTAAAGCATTTTTGCCTGCAATCCACTTGAAAAATGCAGCATTTGAACCAAGCAAAAAGGGGGAAAATTCTCCAACCACAGTGGAAGCCTCATAAAATCCCAGTGAGCTCCCAGTGTTTAACACCTGCTTTGCCAAGTTTTATCACCAAACTAAGCCATGTAGCATCACACTCCACACCTCTGCCTTACCTTGCTTGTCATGCCACCCTTTTCCCCTCAAAAAACACAAGGAAGAAAGGCTAAAAAAAACAGCCTCAAGGAAGCCAGCTCACATCCAGAGCATTTTCATTAAAGAGGAATTACCTAGGTATGCTCAGATGCCAGCTATATGGTGATTAGACCTTCAGTGCCTCAGAAAATGACAGGTTCAGGGACAAATTATATTTCCTCTCAGAACTTTAGAAAGAAGTAGAAGGGAAAATGCTTTTCTAGAAAAAAAATATTAGCAGAGTGCCAAAGGAGCAAAGCAGGGGAGTTCTTGAGAACGTGTCTTAAGCAGAGTCTCAGAGCCATGAGGGCCAGCAAGGAACCACTCGGGTAGTTTTCCAGGACAAGGCAGATTAAGGTGGCTTAGAAACATGCAAGGAACCTCAAGGGGTTTCCAGGGGACTCTGCCCCCAGGTTTTTAAATGCCTAGTTTTACCAGGAGTGCTGTTAAGTGTGCAAATGCAAAGTCTGGTTTTACACAGGTTCATATCTCCAGGGAAAACTACCTGGTATCAACCAGAGCAAAAAAAAATGTCTGCTTTTCCCGCATTGAGCTTCTAGAAGTTTTCCTTGTGAAATTATGGGACTAAGTAGTCAAAAGCTGCCTAGCGTTACATATGATATATGATATTCTCTATCATGGGACACAGCCTAAACCTAAATCAGATTAAGAATCTGCCCTGGAGGGTACCTGGCTGTCCATTTTCATAAGTACTCAGGTAATACCCTTAATACTTCCAAGTGATTAACAGCTGCATCCCCATCTATGTGTTCTGAAGTCAGAAGTTTTGATTTGTAACATAGGCCCCTTTTAAGAGGATTTGGCACATCAATAACTTGGAGAATCTGGGCACTCTCACTTGCCTTTAAAACTACACTGTTAAAAAGCATTGCAGCGCTTTCTGCCTTTCAGGGAGGCCTGGTCTTCAGCTTCAGAAAATTTTCCCTTTTAGAAAGAAATTAAAACTCACCTTTAAGCATCTTGCAGGATCATCTCATACACAGAAACAGTATTCCTATTATTTCATTTTAGGACTGTGAATTAATCATTCACCTTCTGCTGACACCTCATCACCTGCCTAAAGGAGGTGACAGAACTAGATGCTTCTTCTTGACCTGCCAAGATATTTCCAGAGACTTCTGGGAGAGGCAGGAATAACGAGACCAGTTCATCTGGTGCAAGATGACAAAATTGGGGTGAAATCTGTGAACCTGAGGTTTATCCCAGCCGCCAGGCTTTATGTGAACACAGAAGTGCCATTCAGCACTTGGAGGCACTCTCACCTGTATGGACATCATTGCTGGTGACAGGAGGGGAGCTCATCTGTGAGAGCCAGACTGGGCGGCAAATGAAGCCTGAGTGAAGACAACCATCATCAGACATGCAGGAAAATGACAGCTCGTCCCAAACGCAAACACAACTGGCTTAATGGGAGGCAAGGCACTTAATTCAGAGTGACAGGGGGAAAGGAAACCAAGCCACGGGGCTGCATACCGAGGGGCAGGGACAAAAAAGACCAAGGGAGC